CAGCTAGTGCAACAGAGATAACCAAGTCCTGAGTACGAGCTCCAATCTATGCCAGACTGAGGAGTTTTACAAACTCTGAAGTCCAGAAACAAAGCACTGCTAACTGGCTCCCTAAAATACAAGTATCAGATCAAGCTTACATTGTTAAATGTTCAAGTAAGCAAGGTGCCCTTTACACGCAAGTGCCAGAATCAATCAACTAAAGAATTCAATCAATAAAAGGTCTTGGGAGTCAAGTGAGAGTGTTCTAATTAACCCTGAACTTCAACGCTGGTTTACCAAGAACCTGACATGCATATTAAAATGAGACATTCAATCATGTATGGTCATAATTTCAACATTTTCCTAGATTTAAACGTCAAACCCTCACACTCATAACTATCCCACAGTGCATTCATACATTACATAATTCATTGGTCTTGTACATTTTTTCCCCCAGAAAGTAAGTGCAGTTCTGACAAAGAATTAAGTATTAATTCCTGAGACAATCTTATCTATATACTGCATATAGATTACTATACAGTACATTGCAGGAACATCTACTTTATATCAAACATTTATTCTATTGATTACATTTACTCAAATGGTCATGTCTTCTAAATCTTTCAGATCTAAAATACAAATAACTATAAAATAAGCAACATGCTATTTTTAGCCTTTCCCCCCCAATTTTTAAGTGCATTTTAAAATCTTAATTATACTTGTGTGCACAAGCTTGTCACACTCTAATAATCTTCTAAGGATAGATTTGCCATTGTGTTGAATTCTCCACACCGACATTGGTGAACCATGACAAGCCAAAATATAGATCCCAAAGCCTTGTCAATAAGATTACTGCAAATCAATGAGACAAAAGATTTTTGAAAAGAAAAACATGCACGCTGCATTCACTTGAAAGCCATTGAATTGCACATCTAGGAGCTGCCTGGCGCTCCCTTTCATTTGGGCAAAGCGGTGGCTCTGTGGCTAAGGATCTGCGCCTGTGGCTGGAAGGTTGCCAAATCGTATCCCGCAGCCGGCAGAGGAATCCTACTCCGTTGGGCCCGAGCAAGGCCCTTAACCCCAGCTGCTACAGGGGTGGTGTACAACAGCTGACCCTGCACTCTGACCCCAGTCTTCTTGTCTCTGAGTCTCATGGAGAGCAAGCTGGGGTATGTGAAAAGAAATTCCTAATGCAAGAAATTGTATAGGGCTAATAAAGTGATCTTATCTTATCTTTGTTCTGTGTCTGAAACCTGATTAAAGACCTGCTCTGGGAGTGAGCTTTTGTAAAAATCATAATTAAAGCAAAAATGTATTGGGTTTGTGATGAAACATCACCTCTAACACAAGAATATATCAAGAGCAACAGCCATTTTATAACAACCCAGTGGCTTCTCAAACTTCATCTCAGCAACACGAGACAGGGGACATGTGTGTTGTCTTTTCCTAACTGGCACAGGTTTCCAGGAGCAAGATGGATTAAAAAACAATTAGCTACTCTTAACAGGGAGTGTTAAAATAATTTGAAATCTTTTGGTCTTTGAGCAAGACTATCTCATGTTCCACTCGCATAGAATGGTGATTCCAGACAGAAGGCCTTCAACATTCCTTATTCACTTCTAGTCCTTTTCACTGCCTTCCCTGCATATCAACAATTTGAGACCGTAACAGCAATAGCTCCTCAGCAATTTTGAATAACCATCTGTTCATCGGGCTGAAGCCATGCTCCACAGAACCCCTTCCCCCACAGAGACTCCAAATGGACGCCTTAGTGTACTGACTTCCAGATCTCTTTATTACATCATGCTCATTAAATAATTATACCAAAGAAAGAATGCACAGTAAGATAAGGAAGAGCCCCACGTGCATGTAAAGAGCTGTTTTGAATACTGCATTGCAGGAGACAATGGAAAGCACAAAACAGTAGCTTTTTCTTCCTCTTCATGTAGTCAGCACAAGACATTTTAAGACTGAAGACGTAATGCCTAAGTCTATGTGTAGAAGTGTGATACAGTCTTCTGTGGGTAGGTTTAGCACCACATGGAAATAAAACTTCACATAGATAATTGTTACCCTACAAATAAGGCTATTTATTCCCTGGCCTTCAAAGTTGTTGTTTCCTGCAATGCATCTGTATAAACACACAGCCAGTCAGGGAGACAACTGAGTATTTTTACTATTATTTGGCACATATTCACTTGCTTTGTAATTTTTGTTGTATGCTTGATGCCATCGTTGCCATAGCATACACCTAGAATTACAAATTCATTAAAAAAAAAATTGAAGGAGTCAGTCTGGTTAAAGTTTTAACCCATTCAATGTGAAGCTGTCCGATGAAAACCAATGGGGACCTCAATCATCTTTTAAAAATGTTAGACTATGACAAAGCACAGAAGGCTGATAATTACAACTACAACTATAATTACAACACTTTAACATTGAGCTGCAACAGGTCATTTACATTGACATTTCCTAATTTGCAGTAAGAATCCCTATTTCACTTTAAGCTTATTACCCTTTTAAATAAATTATCAAGTTACTGTGCACACTCTTGAGGGGCAGGCAAGTACACTGTGAAGGTTAGCGTGCCTAATCACATGGAATAAAACAGGAACTCTGAAGAGAAGGATGCACACTCTGATACACTCACATTAGAAATCCCCATTTTGAGAGAGGTCAGAGCTCTCTTCGGTAATGCGTTGTAGCTCTATTTCTCTGAGAAAGCATAGAGTTGAGTGATGATTTTAGGACTTCTAAAGTTCATCCGCTTCTCTGCTACTCATTCCTGATCCTGGAGTGCTGCTGGGCCTTCTGTATTACATTCCACCCTGATGACTTCATTTACATTGATTGTTCACTTAGCCAATTCATATTAGTTCTGGTCTTTACTCAATTGAGGATTGTGAGTTACCTAAAAAACTGGTGGACTGGGACGCTTTGGGCCCTGGAGTGAATATCACTGATCCACTATCTTTGAAACCATATCAATTCAGTGGTAATTTTAATTTCAATCAATCAAATTTTTATCTTGTACTGACATTCACAAACAGTTTCCACAGAGTCCATTACAGAAATGTGTACAGCAGATGTTTTAGGTTCAGATATCATAAACCAACCATTTGACAAACAAACAAACTCCCAAAGGGACAAAATTAATCTTTGGCATCCAAGGCTCCATACATTTCAGTTTGCCATAGAGGGTCCAGAAAATTGGCAACCTAATGCCCTTTAAAACAACTTTCATAATCAAACTTTTAACTTTAGATCATCAACCCTGTTTTATCTAAATATTTAAGAGTATATAAAAGAAACGGCAACAAATGTAACTCTGTTCTTAGAGCATTTGTCATGAGGTTGGTGATTAAGCAGTAAGACAGCAAAAACAGCTGTCTCAAAATGCAGCAGCTGTGAGAAACCCGTTTAGTCACTGCTATCAAATTAGTTGCATATGATTTGACTGAACTGTATCACAATACATACAGAATGGTAATCAATGTGTAAGTGTGAATGGTGGAACAGATATCTAAAGAGTTTGAATTCTAATCTGCCAAGCAAGGGCTATGTTACCTGGAAGCAATGGAGTTGCCACGGAAACGATCTTGAAACTGCATGGACTAGAAGGCCAAAATAATTGAGAATGTCTCCATATATTAAAAGGATCTTGAGGTGGTCTTATTCTGACAGCTGAACTTTTCTATTTCAAAGCAAGTAAAATAGCACTACATGTTTCCAGTTCATTCTTCAAAACAAAATCTGGTTATTTTGTGGGAATGTGCTGTGGGACGTCTTGCACAGAGATGAAGAGTGCATCTGTGAAGTCAGATGAGGTAGTGCCTATTGTAGAGAAGATTGGCTCACAACTGACATCTATGCCTCATGAAATATTCACAATTTATGTGCAGGGTCGAGTGGTTGGATACCAATTTACACTCGACACACCATCTGTTTCAATTCTCAGAAAAGGTTGGTATATAAAGATACCAAATTTTAAATTATAACTTTTAAATTATTCATCTGTTTTTGTAAACATCACAGCAGACAGCAGTGCAGAAACCTAAATATGTAGTTCTGACCTACATAAAACTTATTCAAATATTAATGCTGTAGAAAATCAGTAGTAGACAGTAGTAGATACAGTAGTGAGTATAGTCTTAAATATGAACTGAAAATGCAAACCATGATAGTAACTTCAACAGAAAAGTCCAAACAATGCAATGATATTCAACAAGTCGGTAATCTGTGTCACTTCAGAAACAAATGTCTCATGCTTGCGGATTTAATATTCTGACTCTTGGTTTCCTAGCAACCAAGAAGCCTGTCACGGGATGTAGACTAAATGGATAACATCTACCAAATCCGATCGGATTTTCATTCAATTTAGAAGCTGTACCAAGAAAGTACTCTCCCCTTTGAAAACTTGTGGCTTCTACAAAATGAGTTAATGGTAGAAGCCTTTCTTTTTTAAAACAGCAAAACTTACCTTTCTCCAGAAATGAGCATTAAAAGTCCAGCACAGAAGAGGCTGTAAAGGTTTGTCCTGAGCCATATAAAACAATCAGTGAAATATATGGTTACAGAAAATGACATATGCATAAATTTGGCCAACAATCCATTTTCTAACCGTTGATCTAATTTAGAGTCACAAGCAACAGACACAAGGAAGGATACATTCCAAGAATAACAGCTTCAAGGCATTTAATTGGGAGGGATTCTCTGGTCATCTCTCTTGCAGTCTCCATTAACCTGGAAAAATAATATAAATGTGATTGTGAATAATAACATACCACTGTTCGCAATATTGTTGTTTAAAAAATGACTCAAAAGATACATAGATCCTAACTATTAACACAATTTATTGAACTTGTGGGCTTGCCAAGTTGGTGTTAAATGAACACTTAAAGGAATAGACTACATTACAGGGCTGTAGACAACACACTTAGGCAGCTTTGTAAAGCTGTTATTCCTTGAGATTAAACAAAGCAGTTAACATGCAGCAATAAGATCACTACAAGCAAGTACTGGAACACTACATTCATGTGATTTTTTTAATATATTATTTTATATTTAGACATTCTTGCTTAACATTTTATTTTCACACAGGCAGGGCATTTAAGTGTTAGGAGCCATCTTAGTTGGAGGTTACAAGAGATACAGGTTTTCTACGAACAGTGTTTGAATGATTTGCTATATTGTAATTCACTGTGAATAGGGGCATCAGTTTAGCAGACAGATCAGACAGGTGGACAGTAACTGATATAATCAAATCATGGGGCACTGTCAGTCGTGATTTTCACACATTCATTCATTATGGCTTGGCAACAAACGAGGAGCTCAATTAAAATGAGACTTGAAATTACTCCTTTCCCTCCAGATTTTCTTTCAATGCGCCACTCCTAGATAAACCACAGAACTTCATGGGCCTAAGAACAAAATGAAAATGCTTACAACCAGGGAAAACCCTCTTATTTTAAAGATTTCACAATCAAATATTTGGAGTAGTACCTATCAAACTGAATCCCTTAATGCTGTTCGGATTGAGGTTTCCCTACTATAGAGAATTTGCACTGCCAGTGAAACCAATACATTTGATAAGAGAGATGAATGCACTGAAAAGGCCTTACTCACCCACTGAGAGGTCTCGTCTTTCTAATTTCAAAGAACTGTGTTCCTGTGTGGTTGTATCTGTCAGCAGAAAAGCTAAGGAAATTAAATACATCGGGAAGCAAGCCATTTTACTGCCAATTTCACAGGGTCTCAGTTATAAAAGTTCAATAAGAGTGCCTCTCCAAAGTATTCAGACCCTTGCAGTTTTTACGTTTTGTTGCTTTAAAGTCTGCAGTGACACTTTAAAAGTAGCAACTAATTTGTTAGAAAACTTATACTCTATGCAAGTTACACTCTACAGATTCAAAGCAAAAAACGAAAGACAATTATGGAAAAAGATAAGAATGAATACTCAAACGTTTTGCAGTGACAAACCTAAATGTAAGTACACAAAATTAGCATAAAGAGCCGCACAATTAGCTGAGTAACCTGTCTGTGTGCAAACATGGTGGTTCCCTGATTTCACAATGTCATGCATGGTTTCATGTTTGCAGAGCATGTAATGCAAGCCTTAAGAAAGAAGACAATTCTGTCACCAAACCATTTCTGGCGATATAATCAATGACAACAGAAAAATCAGATTTCTGGAATTAATTATTTTAATTATTTAGCTCACATACAAATTGGAGGTAAACTTCCTATAAAAGATTAAACCTCTGCACTAGGACTAGATTTTTTGGTTTTCACTTCTGATATTGGAGCTTTTTTAGAAAAATAATTTTAAAATTGAGTTTTGCAAAACTTAGTAAAAGAGATTAAATGTGAATAGGTGTAAATTGTGAGTTAAGGACAGCAGTGTGGCACAGTCGTTAGGGATTAGTAACTGGAAGGCTGTGGCTTCAAATCCCAACTGTGACACCACTGTTATAACCTCGACCAAGGTACCTCACCCACACCGTTCCAGTAAAAACCTCAGCTGCGTCAAGTTTCTTGCCACAAAACCAAAACAAATTAGGAAAAGGACAAAATGAAGCAGGGCTATGCATGAAATCTTCATGAAACTGGCTAGAGGGAGTCGGTGAAGGGTCAATTTATTATACCACTGAATTTATCAAACATCAATGAGTCAATAGCCTTAAACTCCTAGTTATAAGAATTTGTCAAATTTGATAGCACCCAAATAAACGAACTCCAAGCAATATATCAATTCAATCTAAATAAATTAAGGTATTCACACAAAATCCTTGCCTTTTCCTCAAAGTTCCATAATGGTCAGTCTAGAATGGTAAGTCTGGAATGAACAGATGAGAAACAGTGCAAAAAGGATACTGCAGCATCTTCATGTAATTCTGGATGGCCTGCAGCCAGTCTGGGACAGACATAGACGGCTTGAAGTTCGGTACCGATGGCACAGGAGGCTGCAAGAAAAGAAGGACTCCAGTAACTCTTTGCTCCATGGACACAAGCAGAACTTTAGATCTGAACATCTGCTTAGGTACTTGGGAAATTAGTAGTAAATTCTTGCTCAATGTAGCATCTCAAACCACAATCGGTGTGCCAAGCTTATTTACTGGTATCACTGTCAAATAAGCATAGTTTAACAGATAATATAATTACACTGAGATTAATTAATAACATGGTTTAAGTGGGAGATTGGCAATACTGAGTTCTGTTGCTATATATACACATGCACAATGAATTAAATGGTACCTATATACAGTACATTATTTTCTAAGTAACACATTTACAGTGTAAAGAAGATTATTTTTTTTTCATTTCAGGCTGTTGGATCACAAACTGTTACTTTGGACAGGGTGTGTAGACTTTCTGCAGGCACTGTATATTCTAAAACCTAAAGACCTCGAAACAGTGGCTAAAAAAAAAGGTTAAAGAAACGAACAGGAATGATTCCAGTATCTCATTGCAAACATCATTCTGAGCAAGAAAAATCAGTTTTGATGGAAGATATCAGAACACAAATAAACCAGTTACTGGAAGAATTCTTTTTTTTTAATGTTATTAAAGCAACTTCGTCAGGGTGATGATGAGTGTTACAACAGCATAGCACCAGAAACACATTCAGTGCTAACACACTTTCCCAATATAGCACATCTCCCGATAATTCTATTCCTTCCCAACAGATGCTTCCTTTGGCTTGAGTGTCAGCTATTAGATTTAAATATTAACCATTTCCTTCCTCTGGCTGCATGCAATTTAAGTGACATCCTGTAGACAGTAAACAGACTGGCAGGCTCCTGTGAAAACAGTGTCAAGGCTATGATTTCCTGTGAAGCACACAGCAGTGTAGGAAGCTCGTTTCAGGATACTATTTTTATGCAGCAAATGAAAGTGAATGTCTGAAATGTACCAGAGAGAGTGTTCCTTCTTTTGTACAGTTGTATGTATTATTCCAGGGTAGAGGGAGAGTTTTTGTCCAAATCTCCACACTGATGATAATTTGTTTGTGGGATACTACATTATGTAAGAAAAACATGTTATGCTTAAAAAAAACCATTAGAATTCTTTTACCCTTCTCATCAGGTTCTGTATTGTTTTATTTTTGAAGGATTTAAATAAACCTCTTTAAATCTCTGCACAATGCAGGTGATGTGAAGTGGAAAGACTTCTTTTTAACAGGATACCTTCTAGGAGCAGATTTTACACAAGTGGAAACCAGATGAAAGTGCCCTGGCGATAGGGAGAACGGAAGGCACTTCTTCACCTAAAGGGGTTGTGTGAGTGTGAAATGAACTACAGTCATGTGGTAGAAATCTGTAAAGCAGTTTAAAGTGCAGAAAAAGTGTACAAGCAAATCACAATTTTTTTTAAAAAAATGAGGAGCCAGAGGAGAGGTGAAGCAGTGCATTGGTTAAGGCTCTGCACGGTGAAGATTCAGGCCTGGATCAAGTCCCTGTTCCGCTAGTGATTCAGTTTTACCGAGGAAGGTAACTGAACCTTCTCTAAGATATAACTGAAAAAAATCAGAACGAGCACAGCAGGAGAAAAGCAATAGTAGCCGAAGGAACCTTCAATATGGATATATCATGTTTCCTTCTCTACACCACTCTCTAAGCATTGTAGAAGAGTGGTTAAGATCTGCAAACCTATGAGCTTTTCATGAACACACAAGATTTCTTACTTCCTATGTATTGTCATGCTTTGGGTCACGTCACACTCAGCAGGTAACAAGGAGTGAATCAACGGGACACAAGATCTTGTGTTCTCCACATAAGAAAGCATCAGAATCAAAAAGGTTAATAATTTGTTTCCTTAATAAACAAAGGGGAAAGTAGTGGTGTACTTCTAGAGTGGTCCAACAGACAATGGTGATACATTCCATTTCCCCAAAAGATAGTATACCATCACTGGGTATAGTGTATTTGGACAGATACTGTTGGTCTAACCTTGAATGAGGTACTTCACACCAGTTGTTCCAGTCCACCCAGTTACAAAAATGGGAACTAGAGTTGCTGAGGGGTAATTTCATGCAATGCACCAGCAACCCATCTGGGAGCCACATCTCTCTAGTCCACTAAACGCTGCAGAAACCTCTATGTGCTCTGACCTAGTGAACCAGTGTGGCTTCTTAAGACATCCAGAAGGTCTGTCCATTGAATTCTTAAAAGCATACAACTTATACAGCACCTACAAGATTGAATAATATGCCCAATGAGGTAGGAACACAAAACAGCTGTGATCATAAAACTAAACAATAATGCCTTTGCTTAAAATAATTAAAAAATTGTTCAACCTCAATCCGAATAGCATCGCACAGGGTAAAGTCAAATGTCATTAATATATTATAAAGAAAGAAGCTTCATCCTTGAAACAAGGACATGAAACCCAGGGTGGCAAGAAACACTTGCCCCCACTTCCTGCAAAGTTGCTACTCTATAAGTAGCCTTTTTTTAAGTAATGGACACTAAAGTAAAACGTAGCACATTCAGTTTTGTGTAAATTCTGTTCTAGCCATCTCACAGTTTATAGAGATCCAGACTTTTGTCAAACATCTATGAAGCACTAACTGCCTAATCATGATGAGCCACGTTACTAATTTATGTCTTCCATGTGTTACCTCTTTCCATACCCCAGGGAAACAGGAAACCTTCGGGGCCTTTATATGGTTCCATTGCACTTTCAAAGAGCTGGATTATTATTCACTGTAGATTTATTTTGGTAGGAATTTTGTTTTAGCAGTATGTAGAAGTGTAAATAAATGTAACCCTGGGTTTTTCTGGAATTCATTATAATAATAACTGCTTACACTTACAAAGCGCTTTTCTGGACACTCAAATCAAAGCGCTTTACAGGTAATGGGGACTCCCCATTTATGACAAATGACCTTGCCCTGTGCAATGCTATATTGAATACAATGCAAGATTGCTTGTATTGTTTTTAAATTTATAGAACTCATTCTATTAAATATGTTTTTGTTCACATTTCATTGGCAGTATGAAACAGAGGGCACTTTACATGTACAGTATATAAAACATACAATATCTGTGTAAAGATACAGTAGAAGCAGAAGTTCATACACGAATGGTTTCCAAATTAATTACAGTAACTGAAAACAGGCTTCTTTCGGCAGAGTGTGAACTAATTTATCAAACCTAAGATACAAAAAAAAACCAAGAGATTTTAAAATCTACAACAGAATACCTGCTATTTGTTTTAACTGTTTAGCATCAGTCCAGTATAGTTTAAATTTTGTATTCTCAATTCCCAAGCAACAAATACTGCTCCTCTGCAGTTAACAAGACTCAAAGAGGCGAGACAGACACTCTGCAGAGATGAGAACAGCACTGAACTTGAGCCTGATGGTGCTGTGGACTATAATTTAGATTAATAGCATTTGGGGGGGAAAAAATCTCAGTTTCCATTACAGAACACATTAAACATTATCATCTTTAGATGGGAAACTTCAGTGGAGCACAACTGCTGAGCACATTTGAGTTTTTGATACCTCAGCATTCCTTTGAGCTATAAATGGTTTAAACATGGGCTCTTACATTTGGACTGCCATTTGCAACACAAGTGCTAACCCCAGGCACTGCCCAGTGATATCCGAGTATTTCTTTTGGGGTCTCCGGCTGTTTGGAATGTGACTCTCTGCACTTCAGCATGTCAGTGCTGGAGGTCATATCCATGTCCTTTTGAGCTATGATCTAAAGCGAGGGTATACATTACCCAGGCAAAATCGCTAAAATCAGAGAATGACATACTGGATGAACAACAGCCTGACCAGGCACAAATTGACTCTGATATTTGATCAAACTGCCACTATATACAGTGGCTCACTTCGCAAAACAGATACCACTTATTCGCAGTTGGTTCACTTGTGTCCTGTCCCATGTGACCATATGCACTGTAAAAAACCCAACAGATTCATGGAATGTTCAGATGGTTCTGTGGCATAATGCGTCAGCTGGTAACACTGGAGAACGCCGTAACGCTGGAGTAGTCTCTTATTAAAAGAAACAGGCATGTCCAAATGATTTTCGCACAACAAGCACAAGTCTCGTTTTTCTCTTGTTGCCCTCTTCCCTGTGGATGCCCCAGTCATTAGCTCACACCCAAGAGACAAATATTTCCTGGAGTAGAAAGGCTCTCTTGCGTTTCACAAATACAAAACTAGCCCTCTGAAACAAATCCATAATTGGCTGGGTGAATACTAATTTAATTCTCTCTGAATGGGTTGAAATTACTCTTGCCACCAAGAGATTACTCCATTTTAAACACACAAGTTAGGAAGCCGTTAATTAATCAAGTACACTGGATGTTGCTGTCCCCATCATTTAACCGTGGTTTACTTCAAACAATAACTCACAAGATTATAGGCTCCGTTTGCATGAATACAATATATACCTCTGACCGATGCATTTTGTGCATATTATTAAACACATAAAACACTCCTGTACCTGTTTTTTATCCGCCAAAACATTTTAATTTCCTGTCGAGGTCAAAATGACAGCCCCTTCTGAACGTTTTAACCTTTTTCCACCTTTTTCCTATTCTAGTATTAGTTTATACTATATTATTATTAGTTTTTTCACCTTATTTTCATCTTATTGTTCATCCTATTAATCTAATAATATTCTAAGCAATACAATAATCTTATCTATAATTGAAACAGTAAAAAATTAATTTCAACTAACCACTACTGTGAACTGAACTATAAAGTTAACTTGTTAATTTCCTAGATACCTACACGTCATGTGGGGTCTTAAGGCACTGGCATTCCTGCAGTTTCCACAGGAAAATCGAGGACCCCAACCCCCATCCCCTAAGGCAAGTCCAGTAGCTCCAAAGCTGCAGAAGGATCTCCCTGTCCATATCAGATCTCTCAGCAAGGCAGTCAGCACTTTCAAAAGCCCCACCTTAAAACCCATTTACACTATATACACGTGTTTAACATCTT